GGAAGTGGTGCTGTGGCTCAAGTGGTAGAGCGCTAGCCTTGAGCTGAAGAGCTGAGGGACAGCACCAAGGCACAGAGTTCGGGCCCCACGACCGGACCCAAAAAAAAAAAAAAAGCTTTCTAATAAATGTAGAACAAAATAATGTGGCTTTTTTGTGTGTGTGTTGGTTGTGGGGCTTTAACCCTGGGCTCGAATGCTGTCCCTCAGCTCAAGGCAAGCGCTCTACCGCTTGAGCTACAGTGTCACTTCTGGTTTTCTAAAGGTTTATTGGAGGTAAGATTCTCATGGACTTTCTTGCCTGGGCTGGCTTTGAAACATGATCCTCAGATCTCAACCTCCTGAGCAGCTAGGTGTGAGCCACTGGCACCCAGCTCAAAATAATATTTTAAAACTCCCCAAAACAATTAGGACTGAACTCCTTTTTTATTTTTTATGTAATTCTTTTTAGTCTCTTGTCTCACTATTCTACAGGTTCTGCTTCAGGCCTCCTCCCACTTTCAAATACATTGTTCTCCTTGAATGATTCTGTCCATCCACAAACCTGTTATTCCTATTTTTAGGGTACATCTTTGTCACCAAATATTTGTTACCTTTTCCTGCCAATTCTGCTTGTTCTTTTTAAAAAAACTAATAATATGTATTAATTATTAGTGTACTTTTTTTCTGTGGTGGTACAGGAAATTAAATACAGCTTGCGAGGCAAGTACTTACCATGTAAGCCATACCCCTATAGTCCTCATTAATTCACTTTGGACAGAAATCTTATTTTTGACTTTGCTTCTCCAATCCTTTTTTGTTTTTGCTGATCATGGGGCTTGAACTCAGGGCCTAGGCTCTATCCCTGAGCTCTTTTGCTCTAGGCTAGTGCTCTACCACTTGAGCCACAGCACTACTTCCAGCTTTTTTTGTTTATGTGGTACTGAGGAATTGAACCCAGGGCTTCATGTATGCTAAGCAGGCACTCTTACCACTAAGTCACATTCCCAGCCCTCCTATCCTTTTCATTTAAACTGTAAAACAAAGTTTTTAGATAATCTAAATGTTCATTGACAAGAAAACACATATAAACATAGTGTATTTACACAACTGAGTATCTACTACACAGTTTTTCAACTGTGGTACCTTTTATACTTTAGGCTAATACAAGCAATTCAGTGCATTGCTGTATTTAACAACATTCTTCTTTTTTTTTTTTGGGTCCAGTAGTGGGGCCTGAACTCTGGGCCTGGGTGCTGTCCCTCAGCATTTCAGCTCAAGGTTAGCACTCTACCTCTTGAGCCACAGCGCCACTTCCAGCTTTTTTTTTCCTGCTTTGTGTGGTGCTGAGGAATTGAACCTAGGGCCTCATGCATGCAAGGCAAGCACTCTACCACTGAGCCACCTTCCCAGTCCCCTTTAACACCATTCTTAGTCTCTACTTCGTAGATGCCAGAACCAATATCTAATAATGTTGACACCCAATGTCTCATGATACAGCCAATTATCCTCTGGGAGACAAACTTATCTCTGGTAGAACACTAATGCAGTGTATGTATCGACATACATAAACCTCAAAAACAATTTTTAAAATTAAAATTATAATCTTAATTATAAGGAATATACAGCTGGGCATGGTGGCATATATTTGAAATCCCAGGGTTTACAGGCTGAGATTATGAGTTTGAAGACAACCTCAAGTTATGTAGTGAATCTGCAGCCCCATAGTGAGAATGTCTTAAAAAAGAAAAATTTAAAAACTAGATTACAGCTTGGCATCGGTGGCCCACGCCTATAATCCTAGCTATTCAGGAGGCTGAGATCTGAGGATAGCGGTTCAAGGCCAGCCTGGGCAGGAAGTCCAAGAGATTCTTATCTTCAATTAACCAACAGAAAACCAGAAGTGGTGCTGTGGCTCAAGTGGTAGAGCCCTAGCCTTGAGCTGAAGATCTGAGGGACAGCACCCAGGCCCAAACAAACAAACACACTAGAATTACAGTATGGACTACTATTCATATAAACTTAGGAAGCATACTAAAATATATATGGCTACATATACATGTAATAAAAACATCTAAGGATGTTAAATGAAATCAAAATAGTGATTACCTCTATGGGAGGAGGAGAATGGAATTAAACAAACCTTAAAAGTATATTTGTACTATCTTTTCTAAAAGAAATGATTTAGAGAACCACAGGTAGGAGATGTACATATCTGGTAGTTTTTCTCTATGCCTGTTCTTCTTCATAATTTCTAGGTTTGTTTGGACATTAAACTTCCCTTTAAATCAACTTGTAGATGAAAAAAAAAATTAGCCGGGTGCCAGTAGGTCATGCCTGTAATCCTTGCTACTCAAGAGGCTGAATTTATGAGGACCATGGTTCAAAGGCAGCCTGGAAAGGAAAGTCTGTGAGACTTTTAATTCCAATCAGCCACTACAAAACTGGAAGTATGTAGCTCAAGTGGTAAAGTGATAGCCTTGAGTGAAAAAGCTCAGGGATAGCACTCAGGCCTTGAGTTCAAGCCGCACAATTGACAGACTAAAAACTGGTGAGAATGCCAGCATCCCTTTTTGCTGATTCATTTGTCACTAGGAATACTAAAGGACTGACAATGGAACTGAATGTAAACTCACATTATTTTATTTTTTATTTCTATTTTTTGGTCATTCGTGGGGCTTGAACTCTAGGCCTGGGCACTGTCCCTCACATTTTCAGCTCAAGGTGAACACTCTACCACTTGAGCCACAGGGCCACTTCTGGTTTTCTGGTGGTTTATTGTAGATAAAGAGTCTCGGTTACCTTGAGGATTGGATGAGCTAATTAAAAACTGAAAACTAGGGGGGGACCAAGATGGCGACGGGGCAGTAGGGAAACGCCACAGCTCTCTCCAACCAAAAAGAGAGTTCGAGTTCCAACGCTTAATCTCCCCAAGAGACCGACAACAACAAAAAGACGAACACTCAGAGAAAAACCAGAGGTGAGAAATAACAAAAAAAG